CTAAGCATTTTTGTTTAAGAAATAGTACTTGTGATCAGACAGAAAAGCCTAATAAGCAGTTTACATAAATGCAGTAGCAAAACTTCCTGCCTTCTCAAATATGAGTATTAACCATCCAGCTGGTTTGTGTTTGTTTGAAGGCTTGGGGTTTTTGTTGTTATTTTTTTTTATGAGCCATAATTTATTTCTTTTAGACCATAATTTCAAAGGTGCCTTTGAGCACAGTTAAAGAAATGAGATATGTATTTTGTAGCTAACTAACTCACTTTTGAAAGGAAAGTTTGCATTACCCAAGTCACTCTTATCTGGGGATCAGAGATGTGCTACACCCAGATGGCTCTGATGTGGTGAGAAAGGAGTAGCTAGTCCAGGATCCACTGGTCAGACCCAGTGTCCTGTGACATTCATCTCCTCAGTGAGATGTGCCCAGGATTCCCTGTGAGGAGCTACCGCTACAGAATAAGTACAAGTGATGTTGTGTTTTCAGTATGTCTTCTGGATATGGCTTTACTTGCTTGGATCTCTTATTTTTAAAAGCATTACCACCACAGATTTGATGCGGGTTGGGTTTCTTGCACAGGAGACAAGAATTCCCAGGAACAAGTCTTGAAATGTGCGTGCCCCCCACTAAGGTTTGGATGAACTCTGGAAACTCCAAGGGCTTTAGCAGTGCTGTTTTATTCTGCTCTGAGGCCGAGTGTTGACCGAAATGGGCAGGGTGCTGAGTGGTGCTTTGTAGTGTATCTATCTGAGAGAAGGAGACTCTCCTTTTCCAGTTGCAAAATAATCTTTTTTTTTTTTTTAAAGGCAGCATTAATGGGGGGTTTTAGGGTATTTTTTAGTATTAGAATTTCAGTTAATAGCACTTCAGAAAAAGTCAAAAGTGTGTAAGAAGTGCCTAAAGACAAGCCACAGTGTCCAGGAGGGAGACACTGTTCTGTAGCATGTAACAGAAGGTCACACAGTGCAAGTATCATTCTTCCCAGGGCTGCATTTGAGATTTTCACATTAAGCTGGAAAAAAAAAACTGCACTGAGATGCTTTTTCTTCCTTCTCTGCCTCCCCACTAGCCCCATCAGATTTTTGTTCTTTCCACTAGCGTTTTTGAATGCCTGATGGCCTTGGATTTCCTTTCATTCGTTCTCCATGATGTACGCAGAGGAGCTTGCACAGTCCAAAAACTCAGGCTAGCTGCTTGCATAGTCTCTGTAAGTCAAGCTTGTGGCAGTTTTAACATTATATGAGGTAGCATCAACCTCATATATATTTATATTATGTGTATATATGTGTATATGCGTGTGTGTTTTGTATATATTCATACCATCAACTTATACCTGAGTTCCTGATCAGGTGTAAAAGGCCGTCTCCTCCTCTTTGCTTACAGTTGCACACGTGCATCATGGTTAAAGAGGGCAGGACTGTTTGTAGGAAATGGGGAATGAGAATATTTACAGAATAACAGATGGCTCTTCAGCACCATTTTCAGTGGCCGTAGACCTCCTGCTCAATATTGGTTAAGGGCACATTATCAGTAGTGGGAAAAACAGCTCCTACATCTTCTATAGAGCTGGGGGGGTCATAAATCAATTCCTCATGAACACCTCTAAGAAGCGAGTCCCCACATTTTCAGCTCTCTCTCTTGTCACTGGCAAATAGATGCTGTGTTTGAACAGTGACCCATGAAAACCAGGAGCAGGAAGAACCATTTCTTGTTGTGCACCAATGCACGACAAATGGGCAACTTCTTCCCCCTCAGGAGGCCGAGTGCTTTTGCTTGGAGTGTGAACCATGGGGAGAGCCTTCTGCTTCGTGCGTCTGTGTTTCCAGCTGCTGGAGCCCGGAGGTGCCATTTGATGGGCTGGGAGTTGTTTGGTATCTCCTGTAGTGTGGGGTGCCCTTTCCAAAGGGGTTCTTTTCTTGTGGTTTGCTGGGATTTGTGTGGTGAGGAGCTGGGGAAGTAGAGCATGGAGGTTGGTGGGGAGTTCAGGGAGACCACAGGGCTGGAGCAGAGGGAGGCTTAGGAGGGAGGTGTGAAACTGTCCTGTCCTTGCGCTGCCATCCCCATGCCTGGCATCGGCTGCCCCTGCCCCTCTGGTGTGCACAGGTGCCTGTGCACCATCCCTAGGGAGAACATCACTTCTGCTTCGAGGGGCAGCAATTTCATGGGAAAAAAGCACCAAAGCAGGGACAAGGGTTGGACGAAGGAACAACACTGGGCTCTCCTATTTCCATGTTTTCTCGGACTCTCACTTCTTGGAGCGGGTTCGCTGGCCTCAAGCCCAGGTTGTCCCCACTGGCCCCATGCGATGGCTCTGCCGTGACTCAGCCCCCAGCTCTGCAGGCAGCGCCTGGAGAGACGCTGTCACCTTGGGGGAACTCACCTCCCTCCCTCTCTGTCTCCTCTGGCAAGACAGGACGAAGCTTGAGAGCCCTGAAACAGAAGCTGAAGGAGCCTTGGGGCAGCTCGTGGCCGCAGCTCCCCGGGAGAAGCACCGATGGGGCCTCATGCGTGGCCATGGCACCACGCTCAGGACGGGGTGGGCAGGCAGCTTTTAGGGAATAAGGACCGGGCTGTTCACCCCACAGCTGCACTAAGTATTAGCTGAAGTAGCTAGCTAGCACACAGGAGTATGGCTTGGCAAAGAGCACTCCAGCCAAACTGTACGTAACCTTGAGATCAGAAAAGCAATTTTCTAACTTAAAAATAGCAGTCGGTAAAGATGTCCTTAACGTTTGCCTTGGCAGTAAACCAGAATGGTGCCGAACGGCTGAAATCCTCTAGATTAAATCACATGCAGACGCATTAAAAGGGATCCCGACAACACCAGGGAGCTGGAGAATAACCTGGGAAGCCAGAAGTCCCCTAGAGCTCGCTGCCAAACGCCGTGTTGTTCCTGGCAGTGGTGCCTTTTCCCTGGCTTTGGTGTTTCTGGGAATGTGTGCAACAGCGCGACCCGTCCTGGGGCCGCCACGCAGGTGGAGGGCGACTTCCACTTGCTGCCACTGTGGTGCCCTCATCCTGCACTTCACCTGGTTGTGGGTTTTAGTTGGGAGCACTTCAATACTCGTCCCTTTGAGCAAAGCGTTAGTGGTGGAAAATCTCATTTACAGCCTCGGAGGGGGTCTAGGTGTGGAAGGAAAGGAGACGGGGAAGGGACAGGGAGGGGACAGCATGAGAGGACACGTGACGACCAGCAGAAACCTCCTGCAGAGAGAGACAAGTTGGACTTCTGCCCTGCGAGTGTTTGGGGTCTCTAGACCTGTCCTGTTGATGTGTGCCTCTCTCGTCCCTTGCAATACAGAGCATTTCTTAGGTGTGTTTTAACTAAATGCAACAAAGGGCAGTGCTTATTTTATGCAGTGCTTTTGCAAAACGGGTGCTGCTAATCAGAGCTACTATTGCCACAGCCCAGCCTCCCGGCCTGGTATAACCTTTGGTTTCAGGAAAACATAAACAGCCTTGTTGAGAACTGTGTTTTTCGTGCTTAAATAGGCATGTGAGGCCCTGGGAGACTTAGCACAACAGGGCCTAATGAAAGACAGGCTACAAAACCGGGGATCTGCTCAGACGAACACGCAGCCATCCCCTGTTTGTCTGCAGAGTCCCCCTTTCCTTGCAGGGAGCTGTGACCATGCAGCGCTCCTAAACGGGGCCCCTTTTCCCAGGTAGGAAAGCAAGTAGAGAGATTATGCAGTGTGAACAGTTTATCTTTGCAAAACAAAAATATGTCCGAATATGCATCTATGCATGTAAAAATGTATAGATTAAAAAAAAAAAAAAAGTCAGTGTGTCTGACCAGCGTAACATATATTCCTAGCAGCTGCCTCTTCTGTGATTTGGTGAGTGCGAAACCTCTCTGCCTTAAATTGCTTTTACTAAGGAATGCAGAGATTTACCATCTGGTTGTCCATTAATTCCTTCACAGCAGATCAGATTTTCTTGAAAGAGGGAGCTACTACCAAGGAGTGAAAAGCAGTCCACGCGTCAGCAGCAAGGCCAAACAGAGGCCCTCTTCTTCGAGGGCTCCTTCGGGGCTGGCTGCGTTTCTGCGCCCTGCCAAGCTGGTGCGTTTCCCCGGCTGAGCGGCAGCTGCTCCCCCGGGACCGGATCTGCCTCCCAGGGCTCAGCTCTGGGTATTGATCTGAATTTTGAGAATTGAGGACAGCCCATAAAAAGCCACACTGCAGGAAATTTGGATGTAATATTAGAGGCTGGAAGAGGGAGGGAAAGGAGGAGCAGTGATACTCACATCATTCTCCCTAGAGATGTTCCTTTCAAAATCCAACTAAATTAGAAGAGATCTCTAGCAGTTAGGATCTTGCAGTCTTATTTTTTGCCTCCTGTATTTTCTAAAAGATGTATTTGGATTCACTGGACATATGGTATCTCTTTCTTCGGAAGATCTTCCTCATCCAAGTGCGGTTGCTCCCAGGTGGAGCCCCCACCCAAGCACAACTGGGAGGATGGGAGAGAGCATTTTGCATTTCTAACACCAGAAGTGACACAGTGAAAGAAGGTTTCCTGCCAATATGTAACACTTACAGGTCGAACACAGATGCTGGATTTATTGCTACTACCCCTGGCAAGAGCAGAAGTGTTTTTAGAGGGGGAGCACCTCGCATCCTGCTCCAGGGTGCAATCCTTAACCGAATTGTCCATCATTTGTGAGAGCGTTTTAACGTCTTGCTTTTTTTCAAGCCGTTTCCAGCCTTCTCTCATGTCATTAAAAATGCTAGCAATCTTCTGCAAAAATCTAACCCATCTCTTAGGTGCCTGCCCTCTGCATTGCGAGGAGCACAAGCCAGGCTGGTGAAGAACGTGCTGCCCTACGTGGGAATTAAAACGTCCATCAGGAAGATTCCCCACGTGCTCCTGAGCTAAGGAGCACAGGGGCCTCAGCTCTTGAACAAAATGAGCTGCTGAGCTCCTTTCTGTGCTTGTAAGTGATTATGTGCTTGTACTGCCTGACTGAAGTGTCTGATATTTCTGTTGCTGACAGGGAAGGCCGCTCTAATGCTCACATTAAAGGAGATTACCAAAGAATCGGGGATGTTATGCTAAAGAACATTCAGAGCATGAAGGTAGGAATGATCCTGTAACTACTAAGCTTTGACATGGATTAGTATTAGTGTGTGTTTCATTGTCATATGATGGTGTCTTTTGTGATGGTTTTTGTCCACTGTAATCAAAGTCCATACTACAGAATTCCTGTGATGAATTTTGAGAGTTAGGGGAACACTGAGATTTGCAAATTGCTGATTTTAAATTATCCAGCCCCTTTTCCTGAATCTTCTCTCTGCATATAGGAGCAGTATGCATGCAATTTCAGGAGCATTTCGCTTCCAATTTGTTAATCTTCCAGTTAGGGGAAGTTCCAGATGTGTGTGTCCGAAGGGATTGCTCAACGGCAGAGTGTGGCTGCATGCAGAGATAACTGTCAAGATATTGCATGAGCAGTGACTGTGGTCTGGGTAGTGAGCGGATCTAGAAAACCTTTATTTGCACAAAGTTGAATGGAAGACTTTTGGAATAAATGGTGATAGTTACTCTTGGAACAAGCAGCACGGATCACAGGCACGAGAGCCTGTGGAAACACTACAAACTTTTACAGTCCCTACCAGTAGCACAGGGCTAACCTTGTTAGTGTGTCTCTGCATCCAGTCCTATTAAGATGCCTGTGTGGCATGCTTTCTTTAGCGATCCATTTGGGAATTATCCAAAAGTCTTGGTTGCCCATGTGGAGTTCATCATTGTTTAGGTGTCTGACACAAGATGGCACAGCATCTTTTTTCATGTGCATCTCAAAGTGCTTTTGCGAATCTCAGCTATATCTTTCCTTGGTGATTTGCCACTTCTGCATCCTGTGCTTAAGCAGCCTCGAATCTCTGGCTGGAGGGAAGGGCTGTTTAGGAAGGGCTCTCCTGAGATGGCAGTGAGCGTTAAGCTTATCTTTCAGAGAGATGGATAGAGAGGTTAAGTGACATGCCAGTGATTATACAATAAATTTGAAAAACAGAATGTCAAAATCTTGACTTACTATCTCCAACAAAAACACAACTTTGTCACCAACCAAGTGCCCTCACCCCTTCCGCAGTGCACTTGGCAGGAGCTGCTTTCTCCTCTCCAGGCACATTTCAGATGTATTGGAAAAAATGCAAGGGGCACTTTTCTACCTCCCTGCCTGTCCTCAAGAAAAACATGATGTTTCACAAATTGTTTTTGGAGTCCCTGTAAACTTCTCACAGTTTGTGCTTCTGCTCTGAGCACTTTGCAACATTAAGTTGTTTCTATTTCAGTGTCTGTGGGCCCTTCTGTGGCAGTGCTGTAGGGCAGGGTTTTGTGCTTAGACCTGTTTATGTGCTTTCACCTTTGCCTTTCCCTTTCCCATTAGAGGGTTTTGTGCCATTTGCTTTCAGAGGTGCCACTGCTTGTAACTACAGGGATGCAGAGGAGAGAAACAAAACCCAGTTTGACTTCAGGAAGAAGTTAGTTAAAACTCAACCTTGTCATGGGACCTTTTAAAGGACCAGATGCTCCTAGTTTACTTAGCACAGGAAAGAAGTTAAGAGCAAAAGGTTTGTGGGCAACCTCAGCAATAGCCCAGAGGGTCCCCTTTGGCTTTGCTTCTTTGCCTGTTGTCAGAGATAGAGACTTGCAGAGTGAACACGTGTACGGAGGAAGCCGCCTGCTTGTAGGGAAGTTATGTTTCTGCCAAGGAAACAATCATAGGGAAGAGGGAGTTCACTGGAAATCTGTCAAAGAGCACATGAGCTTTAGATTAAGCTAGATTGCTTTCTGAAGTCCATTCAATATAAACACTCGGTTCCTTTTTGTTGCTTATTAATATTCCACCCAGCAGAGAGAAACTTTCCTTGGCTGCCCAGAGAAGCTCTGGGCACCCTGCAGGAGCAGTTGGCTTTGCACAAAGCAGACGCGAAGCTCCTCAGGCCCCCAATCCTGGTGGGTTGTTTTAGATCAGCCGTGTGATGCCTGTGATGCAGTGACCAAGATGAAGATGCACTTTCTTGCAGAGCTCGCTCACTCGTGGTTGTCTAACAGCTCCCCCATGCCGGGGAGCTTTGCAGAGACCCAGGGCACATCAGCAGATGTCACCCAGGGACAGGGAATGCTGCTGTAGCCCTTTCTGCTGGACCTCTCCTGTGTTTTTGTGTCTGTTCAGTTTCCCAGGAGATGCCACTTCTCTTTAAGCAGAGGGAAACAGAAGCTGGAAGCCCCCCTGCTTGCATCTCAGCTGTCCCAAAGCCCAGGCACCTAAATCCCTTCCATCCTTCTAGAATATACCATTTTGTTTCTCAGCTCTGCGTCTGTGTAGTCTAGTCCTCCCTGTGGTGCCCACTTGTGAGTTGTGTCCATGTGATCTCCTCAACACTGGGTGTCTTGCCTGGTGCTGGCCCGTTCGTTTTGGTTTCTCACGTCCCTTTGCTTTCCAGGCAGCGGGGAGGACCGTGGGGGTGTGCATCAGAGTAACAGCACTTTCCTTGCTTTTGAGCAAACACCAGAGCCCCTGATTGCACAGCAGTTTTGTTTGCCAAATCCCAGGTGCTGTGGCAGCCCTGCAGAGTAGGTTTGGGGTGAACGATGTCGAGTCCCGTCTCGCTGTGTTTGCTGACAGCTCTGCCATGTGCTTCCCTCCTCGGTGCCCCCAGCAACTGACGGTTCACCTGCGGAAGCACGACGAGGTCCTGGTGGAGCTGGAGAGCAGCATCAGGGGCTCGCGCAAGCTGGAGACCTTCTGCAGGGACTTTGAGCTGCAGAAAGTCTGCTACCTGCCCCTCAACACCTTCCTGCTGCGGCCCCTGCACAGGCTCATGCACTACAAGCAGATCATGGAGAGGCTCTGCAAGCACTACCCGCCCAACCACATAGACTTCAGGGATTCGAGAGGTGAGAGCAGCGCCGCGCGTTCCCGGAGCTGGGAAGCAGCGTCCGGACCTGCTACAGATACACGTGCCGCTGGGAGAGCACATGGGTTTTGATTCTTTAAGCTTGCATTAAAAAGAGGATTAAGTTGCAAAATCAAGCACTCAGAAGTCCAGAAGTGGTAGGATTGAGGTTGCTCTTGTATATACATTATGCCACAGTCTGGACAAGTACTTGGAAGAGGAATATGATGAGGGTTATTAAATCCACAGAAATGACATCCAGTTGAGGAAGTCCCTTGAACTGAAAATAGATGAGAGAGAGCACAGGGGATGTATCATATGTGATTTTCTTGTTCTTAGCTTTCCTTAGGCTTCCCCTAGGAGCAACAAAGCATCAGCCCAGGTGAGCCATTGATCAGACCTGGAATAGCTGTTTTTATTATGTCTTTAAGGAGAGTATTATTTTTCCAGACACACAGCTTGTTCTATTACCATTTTCATACTTTGTTTTAGGAGCTCAAAGCTGCCAGCGGGTGTTTCTCAAACACACAGAGCTTTTCCTCCCGGGGTCTGAGCTCGCCGCTTGCCGCCTCTTTCTGGTGTCTTGGCTCCCTTCTTGCTGGCTCCTGCCACCCGCCCCCGTCACAAGCCATACAGTGCAGACCCCAGGGGACCCCAGGCAGGGGCAGTGCCCAGCACTGCGGCCCCCCGCGGTGGCTTTAGCTCCCACCAGGTAGATGCCTCATTCCCTGCAGAGCCAGGAGGGTGCAGCGCCTCCGAGCACGGGGCAGCCTGGCCTGCGTCGAGAGGAAATGCTGCAACAGTCTGTGGCACTGAGGGACTTGCGTGGCAAAAATGTTTGCCTAAGTGTAGTTACTGCCCACATCACCTCCGGGAGTGTAGAGCAAGCAGCTCCTTCGTTTCATTTCACCGGGGCTGTGTGCCGAGGAGAGTGCACCAGCTGCCACGGTCTGGGCCCTGTTCCCTCCTTAAGAAACGGGCACAAATAGAGGATGCAGGGGTGAGACTGAGAGAGCTCGAGAAGGAAAGTGCAAGCCAGGGACCTCATCACTCTGGGATCGTGGTCTCTTACCGAGGTGTTTGGGGGATATTTCTGAAAGGTTTGGGTGCAAAATAGGGAGATGAGGATGTGAATCCCGTGGGTACTGCAGAACACAGGTCTCCACTTACCAGGGGGATGAACAGTAAGCAGTAAGGAGGAACCACTGTTACTTCTTCACATGCCCTTCTTTTTTTCTCTCCTTTTTTTTTTTCCTAATGCAAATGACTATAACTTCCTTTCTTGTACCCAAATCAGTCATATGGGGAGTTTGACCCATTCAGAGTGTGCCAGTTCCATCAGATAAAGCAGTAAGGAGGAACCACTGTTACTTCTAAATGACTATAACTTCCTTTCTAGTACCCAAATCAGTCATATGGGGAGTCTGGCCCATTCAGAGTTTGCCAGTTCCATCAGATGACTGTATCAAGGGCCTTAGCTGAAAGGAGTCTGTAGACCCTCAAGAGGTCAAGGTTTCCCAAGGGCCTCCCTCTTGCAACTTTTTAATGAGCATTTTCTGGTTTTGCTTTTCTAGCTGCTTTGGCTGAGATTTCTGAAATGGTGGCTCAGCTCCACGGCAATATGATAAAGATGGAGAACTTCCAAAAGCTGCATGAACTCAAGAAGGACCTGATAGGCATAGACAATCTGGTGATCCCAGGAAGGGTAAGTCACAAAACAGTGATGAAGGCCTGATAGCGTTTTAAAGCATTAGGCACAGCTTAGAGGTCTGATTCTCAAGAGCAGCTGTGGAGCTGCCTTTCCTCGTGTGAACCTTTCACGGAAAACTATCAAAGGAAGGCGAATGTAGCAATGCCATAGAAAGCAGCTGCCTTTAAAGTGAGAAGACACAATCATCTTTATCTTTTTTACTGATTTTATCTTTATTAGGTTTATTTTATGTGCAGATTTTGATGTTTGCAAGTAATTTCAACCATCTATTGGAAGAGAGGCAGTAAAACTGTAACAGCTTTAGGAGCTCAAGCAGTTACACATTTCCTCACTTCTTGCTGCCCTTAATCTTTTGTTTTTAGTAACAGCTTTAGGAGCTCAAGCAGTTAGTTACACATTTCCTCACTTCTTGCAGCCCTTAATCTTTTGTTTTTCTGCTGAATACTAGAGCATATCAGCTGAAAGGAAAGTAAGACATTTGTGCTGGAAGACCCTCAGCCCTTTCACGATGCATGGCTTTGAAGCACATGGCCCTGGGGACAAGCAGTCTCTTTAGTCTCCATGTAACATTGTGCAATAATTTTTGAGACAATGTTGCCTTAAGTAAATACTTTTAATTGTGTTATAAAAAATACAGACAGCTTCTTTTGCTTGCCGTCATCTTTCTTCCTAAAGTGCATGTTATTTCAGAATATGTGATCCTCGGTGTAGTGTTTGTTGCCTTTCCTGCTTTCTGTTTGCAAACCTAAGAGCTGTCCCTGTGGAGTCAATCCCTCCCACCTCCCTTTCCTTGTGTACATCCTACGAAAAAGCTTGCGGCAGCTGGAATGCCATGGAAATGCACTGCATGACTGGGAAACAGCATGGAAGAGGAGATGAGTTTTGTGCCTACATCAGTGCCTGATCCCTCCTTGCAGCCCAGCACCCTCCTGCAGGAAAGCTGGACCATCACTCAGCAGCACTGCAGCCTCATGTCTCCTACTTGATGTATTTTAATTCATGTGAGGATGCTGACATTTAGAAAAGGCATTTTGACACGGTGTGCCGCAGGGAGGGTGGCACACAACACTGCAGTGCCCAGTGCTCTGGGGGCTTTCTTGTCACAGGGTCCGGCTGTTGTCCCTCCAACCATCTGGAAGGGTCTCCGTGGCCTCCTGGCCAGAGGTGCTGTGTTCCCGTAACGCGAATGACAAACATGTCTTTAACGTGAATTTTCCAAAAGACCATCAAATGGTTGATGCCTTACAATATCTGTAAGTGAAAGTTATGAATGGAAAGCAGTTATCCTATAAAGTGAGATTATCACAGAATCACAGAATGATTATGCTGGTAAGTAAAATCTTACATGAGTATTTAGTGAAGAAAATAAAAAGACTTTTAGTGACTGATTATCAAGTCATTGTATGCCCACATAATCATATATATTTTTTTCGTAATACGAAGCGTAATCATTTTCGCAGAAGCTATATAATATGTTTGTTTCACATGTTTCCTACAGGAGTTCATTAGGCTGGGCAGTCTTAGTAAGTTGTCTGGAAAAGGTTTACAGCAACGGATGTTCTTCCTGGTAAGCAAGAAGACAGTTTTCCTGTATCTAAGGAAGAGTGTAAATAATAATAATAATAATAATACCTGCTTGACAGGCACACTATTGAATTGTGCCTGAATTTTGAATAGCAGCAAATATTTTTAAATTGTCTTCTTTAAATCTGACTATTAGGAACAGCTTATGTTTCTGTCTCTTGGTGACTGCCTCTTACAAAAATCCAACTATTTTTATGCCTGCTGCTGTGAATACTGTGATAAAGCAATGCCCCTAGCAAGGCTGTCTCAAAGAAACGTGGAGTCAGTGCAGAACAAGAAGCGGCACCCGGGTTAGTCATCACGGCCAGAAAGGATGATAAATCGTAACTCGTGGTGATACCAAAGATAATCTGCCCAGTGCTGTCAGGACCTATTCCACACGTAACTTCATCCCTGAGCCTTGCAGCCTCCCTGCTGTGGCTGCCTTGTGGCTGCCTTGCTGCTCTCATAAATATGGCAAATATTTTCTTGCATACCCCAATTCTTGTTACCAGATGATACCTCAACGTTATACCTGTATATAAAACATTGTAAAAAACAAGATTACACTCTCAAGTCATCAAGCAGCAGTCTCGGTTTGTGCCAGTCGCTCACACTGGCAGAGGAGTCTTTTGTCCATCTTAAGCAGCACAGTCTTTTTGGAGATAAAAATCCGGGCTCTACTTGCTATGACTTGGAATACGTATGCAATCATTGGCAAAATTAAATCCCCCTCTAGTGGTGGATCCACAAAACTTCATGATTTGTTGCCCTGAAGGCGCAGAAGTCCACGGCGAGAGCTCTGCTTCACATCCTAGATTGATCTTCTTGTTGATGCAGTTGTCTTATTTGAGAAAAATATCCCTTGGCCCAGCTGGCCCTGTTAAGAAATGCTGTATGATGGCACACAGCAAAATGCAGCTGCTCGTTCAGGATGTTTTTGATGACTGCTGTCACGTGCAGGATGCCCCATATTTAGTATTCTGATTGTTTGTCTGTTCATACACGCCACCGTAATTCTAATGTTCATTCTTGCTTTTCAGTTTAACGATATTTTGCTCTATACCAGTAGAGGCCTGACAGCATCAAATCAGTTCAAAGTCCATGGGCATCTGCCACTCTATGACATGACAGTAAGTACAAAAGCACAAACTTAAGGGATTCGTATTTAAATGGCCTTTTAAAGCCTCATCATAATTGCTTGATTAATTCCTGC